CCTCGATATCGGAGAAAGAAAATAGGGATCACTTAGTATTATTCGATTAAAGATTGACGTTCAGGGCAAACGGTACTTCATTATAAATTTCGACGTGTCGTTACAAACTGATTGGCGCGTAATAAAACTGACAACTGATCTGGACTCTACTGAATATAGTTTAGAAAATTCAAGACCCAGAGACTTTCGTAGATTGAATACGTAGCAACCACCTGTTCGCCGTGGACGGGGATGTCGACAAGAACTCCGTAAATAATAACCTTCGCGACATGACCAAAGTTCACTCCAAAGAACATTTCGTATCTATCTCGTAAAAAGTTTTAAATACTATGGAAATCACTTTGACTAATATTTAACAAGCAAGTTCTAACTAAAAATCCCCATAACCTAATTTAGGGACAGTGAAAGTTTCCATTGAGATGAAGGTTGACTATAGCGCAGCATGAATCATACACACTTCTATAATATCGTAACCATCTTATAAAGAATTTTAAATATTATTTAAGTCTAGATTTCTAAAATATTGTCCTCACTTAATATCCAATTAGAAATGAAAAGACCTCGTAAGACAGTCTAAATGCGCAAGAATCATACTCGAATACAATACGAGTACAACTCCGTCGTTCGTTGGAGAACCGGGATTTGGCGTAATTCCGGTAGACGTCGGAACCAGTGTCGATACAAAACGCGGCTATCTCGGCTAGATCCTGCATTTCCATGACGGCGTCGATGAGCCGAGGACGATCGCGGCTATTCCATTTTCCATTCGAGCGGATCCGCTCGCCTAATCGATAGTTATAGCGCGGGAGCGCACCCAACGCGATAACTCGGTCAGCGGGGGCGCGAGACGAGCAGATGCAAAATTATTTCGCGACGTTATCGACGGTCGACCAGACACGATAGTAGTTATCGGTGCCATTTCGCGGATTTAATGGGACACGCAGGACGCGAACGCGGAACCAGAGAAATCGCAGGACTCCGCGGAGCCAGTCGACCGACTATGGATGATAGTTGCCCTATTATCTCACGAGTGCGTCATCTAATCAGCTCGCGATGAGATCTCGACTTGGGAACGCGTTTTGGAGATCGTTGCTTCGTAGTTGGAGCAAGTTCGCGCGCGATCGGAGCAGGTACTGTACCAGCCGTGGGATAGGTCTGAGGTCACCTTTATCGTTCGTTTTGTATGTCGTCTTGTGACACGAAATTTGAATTTCAGTCTGCGATCGCAAGGAATGTATACTGCAACGAACAGGTGGCTGATATGTTCTCGATCTAGGTATTAATCTAACGTTTATAGCTCTGAGTCTTTCGAACCAAGTAGAGTCACGATTATAGTGAAAAAGTTTGAATGAACGCGATTTTTATGCATTTCTACTAACGTCAGGGGAGCCGTTTTAGGACCTGGTTAAAAAAGATCCGCGGTCGTGAGATCTAGTCTCGAATATTTTCGGTCACTGCATTCACATTGTCCTCTTCGAAGCACTTTGAGGAGACAAATGCGATTCCTTCCTTTCTTCCTCTTTGATCGGATCGCTTTCTTCACTTCGAGGGATAAGAGGCCCGAGAGGTAGTCTGCGGTGATTGTCCTACAATGGAGAAGAAAATCAGCATGAGGCATTCGTTCCATCGCAGTCGAAGACTATACCGCTGATTGATGATATGGAATGTCCGACCGAACTAAATAGTAACAACGTGCAAAACTTTCAACTCGAGTCCCTTGTAAACCGAGGCTATTTTGACAAATCCCTTTAGAATTTTGAAACACTAGGTGTGTACCACGAGCTTCATATAGTCTCATGGCAAAATCAATTTCCGCACACGTACCTTTCACTGTTAAGCTCAAGAAGCTTAGATAATTTCCTCCACTGTGCCATTGTAGGATGCTCCTTGTGCGACTGCGCAGTTTTACGTGGGATTCCCGCTAGCTGTGATTATTGGCGCTAGTAGTGTGTCAGTTCAATGGTACCGCGGTTAGTGGCGCTTTGATGTCGTATCACTTCGCGCTTATTAACAAATTACGTGTTTCGTGGAACTGTCACGGTGATTTAATTAAAATTAAAATTTAATGGACAATGAATACGATACGCTGAATTATTTCTGCGCTCTATTGACTTGCATATAAGAAATAATTTATTCCGAGGTGTAGGAGATATCTATGTCACCCTTCGAGTCTTTGGATATGCATGGTGCATTTGAATTTTTAACGCGCGGACTGTGGACTGAATTAAAGTCGACAGTAGAGATGAATATTCTCCTATTGATCACAAAAGTATCGTATATAGATATATACAGTGTGTCCCCGTGCTTTTCCCAATTATTCAAATTGGTTTCAATGAATAAACACGTTGCAAAGACTGTTGTTTTTCAGTTTTACTTGTTTCGGTGTTTCCAAGATCACCCATGTTTCTTTTTCATGGTAATACGTATGCTTTTTCTCCTGTACGTTGTAGCTCATATGAATATTCATTTTCCTCGCACCGTATTCGCTTTCTAAAGCCACGCAAATTACAAATAGAACTTCATTTATATTTCTTCATTGTGTTTTCATCTTTTGTTTTCTATGTGGATTTTTAATCACGGTATACGACGTGTCATATTGTTACTTGGTCAATCAAAATTAATTATTTTTCATGCAATTATTCAAATGGCACAATTAGAAAAAAATGAAATAGATGTATATTGTAGATGGAGATATTAATCAATAACGCTTCCTTATTTGAATAGCACACATGCACGCAAAGTGTTTCGACAAAATAAGAAACCTGCTATCGGTAATGGTGCTTTGAGATATTCGCAACTTTTATTTCATACATCATCCAACGCACTCTCATTCTTTAGCATTCTCGTACTCGTATTCCCTGATGATTCATACATGTTGCTGCCGATTTTGTGTCAACGTTGTTCGAGGGGTTGTTATTTTCTGCTTCATCGCCACGAGGGACTCAAAACGTGTCATCCAGTGCAAGAACTCTACTTTGAAGAACGAAAAGAAATTACAGAGGACTGAATATGGCGTACAAGATGGATGCTCTCGCGCTTCCATGCGTTTGCCAGCCAAGAGCTGCTTCACCGTGAATGGAAAGATGACCCACGTTACTACAGACCTTTGTCACGTTCAGTTTATCTTGCAGAATTTATTTGACAGTCCCTTTATCAATGCTCGCCGTTCTTGATATTATTTCAATAGTCGTAGAGCAAGTTCGCCGATTCAAAAATCATAAATGGTCCGATTTATAATAATATTTATAAAAATATTTATAAATTAATTGAATCACTACATTTTGCAACCATAATTACAATCACCCATCGCATAGTGTACTATAGAACTCTGAATGCAGCAAATTGACTCTGTATTACTTGTTAATTATAATTGAGACCCTCGATTCCCGCCTCTCCTCAACACTTTTCAACACTACGTTACTTCAGACTCATTAGTCACAGATCAACTTCAGACATTTTTTGATATACCAATCCACACTCGAGAACTGTTCGACAGCCGTTTAACGATAGCCAACAAGATAATTTAAATAACCGTGGCATACCAGCGAATAAATTCGAAGGGGTCAGCGACGTGGCGACGCGTTTCGCAATTCGCAGCCGAATTACATTCTAGTTCGTCGAGTAATCGATGTTTCTAGTTGCCCGGTGACACCGTTAAAACGATGCATTTTGCTGATGTTAAGCGCGGGAATAATTGGTAGAATAGCGACGCAGCGGATAGTGTCGGTGTAGCGCGGGGGCCGGGAGGGTGTGGGGGAGTTGTCGGGGCTATCCCTATGAATTTATGAACAACAGCCCCCGTTACGTTACAATGGCGCCCCGAACGCGGTTATCTTACGCGCGGTCGCTATGTATTTTCGCAGCCAATTAAAATTATATCGCAGTAACAAGTCACATGTAATTGTCCGGGGAAATGAGATCGCGGGTCGGGGGTTCGCAGGTGACGACGGTAATGCAAGAAATTTATTGAGATGAACGAGCACGACCGTTAATAGTAACGCCGCGAACGTTCCCCGTATCGTTGCGTCGAACGCCGGGGCCGCCTGTCGTCGCTTTGAAATTGCATTTCGAAAGACGCTGATGCTTAACTCGCGTCCCAGCTAAAGGAACGATGAAATTAGATCCGGGATTTTTCGCCCGTACCTTTTCTTCCTTTCCAGGCAATTGATACGAAACTAATTGAAAATATATGGTTCCACGAGCCGGTTTGTTCTGGTTTGTTTGGAATCGTCGGTTTCATTTTGGTTATTGACCCATTCCCTGCCAACTACGAAACGTCACGTAGTACAAATTGATTGCAATTACTCGAGGGATAAGTCTATAGCCTTTTGAGTCACGAATTATTGCAAAAAAAGGTCGTAAATTTTCTTTTAAAACGACAAATTTAATATCACATTTTATTATAAAAATAATAACCTAGATTGCACATCTGTATTAAATCTTGACGCCCTATAGCCAGAGTTATAAAACGTTATGTATTATGGAGAAAGACGTAATAATAACGTCGTGATACTACTATTCCAATAAACACTATTATTATTCTGATAATATGAAATACTGAATATCCTATTATACCCGATAAAATTCTATACTGTGATATTGCAGGATGTCATTATACGTTCATGTTCAATTGGATGTATAATTAACCGTGCATACATATCACAAACAGTCTGTTTGTAATAAATCATTATAGAACTAAAGTTCGATGAGGTGAAAATTAGTATGCTTACTATTAACGAACGCGCTCTCGAACTTTAATCATATTCGATTTCCGCGCCAGAGCAGAAATTAATTGAAATGCAAAGTAAACGATAACATTTGAAGCAACGAATACGTTGATTTACTCGAACGGATTTGTTAGTTTGCATTTTGTTCAAATTTATTATCTACTATAATTGCTTGAAAATTTTAGTCTCGACTTCATATTCTCAATGAAGGTACCGAAGAAAATAGTGTTGTTAGAAAATAGAGTCTAATAAAACAAGTCCTCAGGTTGTAATTTCTTTTATAGTGCTTTTATTTAATACGCAATGGCTTTGGCATTCCTTCCTTAAGCTTTTTCCGAAGTGAACCGAACTTCATGTCAATTAAACAAAACAACGAGTTATCATTCCCACGAATAAGGTACCACAGTCAACGTCAATAACAAAAGCAATCAAAGAATAAAATACGCAAGGCAAAATTATCCAACCACCTCTAAATGCCCAAACGCGACCCAACAATTTCTCCGTCTCTAGATCGTCTGCATTGTAAACAAAATAAATCTCAAAAGTCGTCCATTAATCCGCGAATGTTTACGAGAGAGTACCCCGAATATCTATACGTCGCGCAGCCACCCAAAAACTAATTCCAGAATTTACAAGCATTTCAGTGTCGCGAATTGTCGGGAAAGCCTTGCAACGAAAAAAAAAACAAAACAAAACAAAACAAAACAAAACAAAACAAAAAGACAAAACACCAGCGAATATTTCAACGATATTATAAGCGCGAGCCGGGGACACAAGCGCCGAAAGCTGATTTCGCAAAACACGGCCGGCCGGCGCTGCGCTAATTTATTAACTCGCGTATAAAGTGCGAGCACGGTGGGAACAACTATGGCGACCACCGTTCCGTTTGCCGCGACATCCGCGGCGAACGTTTGCCCCGGAATTTGTTGCTTCGTGCCACCAGGCGTTTATCGTAAAATGTCGCTCGTTGTTTCGGGTTTCAATCGTAACCGCCCGCAGTGTCGTTCGGGGCATTCATCGGCGTACGCGTTGTTCCGAGATTAATGCGATTTTCTTTGGCCGGGCCACGTCAAACGTGGACCAACCGACCGCCGGCGGGCGCGTTTCGCACGGCACCGAGGAACTTTCCAGTTCCAATCGCCTCCAACCCCCTGAGGGGGTTGGGGTTTTGTTATCGATCGTACGGCTACGTATTCCCCGCGATACCTTCGGAACGCGACGGACAATGTCATCGTTACACTTTCATGCTTATGTTTGGCATTACGGGATCGCTATGGCAACTTGACGTGGCATTCGTCGCCAGTGTTTGCCTCGCTTCCGGACGCGTTTGTTTGCGGAACCGTACGACTTCCTACGCCACGGACAAGACAATCGGTGAGCGCTCCGCGATCCTGATCGGTTAATCCGATGGAGAATCGCTCGTAATTACGTAATTACGTCGCACCTGTGTGTACGTGCGCGTGCGTGTGCAGTGAATTGTTATCTCGGGAGAGTTAGCTCATCGTGGATGCCTCGAGGAGGCGGGGTAATTATTTGCGATACTGGCAACTGGGGCTACCGCCTCTCGATCGCGAGAAGAGGGTACTCGAGACACCCTTTAATCTTCTAACGAGGGAATTTTATTTTTTTCATTAAAAAAAGAAATTATTTCTCGACACCTTGCGTGGAAAATGGGCGGGAGAAGGTGTAGTAGTGGAGGTTTTTTTGGATTGTATTCGTGGAGGAAACCTTCGAAAAACGTCTTCGATCTTTTGGGGTACGTCGAGGATTGCGTGGAGTTCCCAGCATCGCTTACACATCCGCTTACAATCTCCTGCGGCAAGGTTCAGCAAAGACTAAAGAACAGTGTTTCGCGGCGCGAATTAGGATTCCACAAGGGCCCATGATCACGCAGATTCAGATGAAGTAAGGGAAGCTGGAAAGGAAATATTTAGTTGGAAGGGTTGGTACATTACGTCTGTGTAGGTGTTGCGAAATGCACTGACCCCGATTCCGTCGCCGAGTGATACAACGCAACGTTGATATAAAACGAAGTGAAGTCGGGAACAGCATTGTGTACATTAGCGAAGTCGAGCGGGATTTCCCGCTCTCGCTGCGCGGAGGAAGTGGTTTTCAATGTATTTCTTGTGATCGATATCTTTCGCGATAAATGAGAATGTACGGTTCAGTCGCGCGCTTCGTTCGTTAACGCATCGCTTTAATTGAAATTTCACCAACTCTGTGCGAAATTTCCGTTACAACCGCTAAGATACCGCGACAAACCTAACCCCGTAGATGGCGTTTGTCAAGGGATGTTGCCGAGGGAATAATACTGGGGAAGAGTTTGTGACATGCAAATGTACATTATGCTGACTTTGACTATGGTAAATATTGGACCGTGGGAACGATGATATGGAAACGAATTGGAGGATGGTGTAGATGAGTGTTGATATAGAAATGAACTGATAGGAACAACGGTAGGGAGGTAGAATGTTTAATCAGTGGAGATGTGTAAATGAAGATGGAGGGACTGCAATGACGGATTGCCTGATACAGAGACGATGCAGACGAACAGGGGTGGAATGTTTAATTCAGCGATGGTGGAGCAACAAACTTTCAAAGACAGCAAAGACAGGAATTGGCCGAGGAACTATCGAGGTCACCAGAGTTAGATTGTCTAATGAAACAGGCATACAGGAATCAACTGACTTAGATTTGGAACTTGGCTCTCCCTCTGATGATTCGATTTCTAAGGGTTTCAAAGGAGAAGTTAGGACAAGGTTAATAGTCCAAGGTTTACTAGCTAGTGTTTTGGAACACGAATCAGGACTCGGTGATGCAGATTTTGACTAATGTTCGAAGGAGTAGGGTTTGAATTGGAACGACTATAGATTGTTGCTCGGGAAATTGCCACAGACTGGAAACTATGATGTGACAACTTCTCTGATCGCTAGATGAAATTTCATGGTTGTTATCTAGTTGTCCATGGCAGTAATTTCTGCAGTTTGCAAGCTCGTAACGGTCAATTTACTTGTAACTGAAGCCGGAGTTGAGCACATTATATTGCGGATAAAAAATAAAAACAATGTATGAGTTATGGACGAAAAGGTAATGTTAATAAAAATGGAAATAATTGTATGTAAAGGTAATTATTACGGTGTATGGATCCAGTGTAAAAATTGAAACTTAAATCAGTTACATACTTTAATAAACCAAGCCAAGCCACTTGAAAATAGTATGGTTAAAAAAAATGGGTTCGACACGAAATCCAGGGAATCGGTTCCAGGGAAATGTTAATTAATTAAAAATAATGAAATTGGCCCGAGAGAAAGGACGACGAATCGTATCCTGCGTTTGACAGTTTCAACCCAAACCCCGTTGAATTATCACAGGAGCGGATTGGGGTGGGGGCTGAAAGGTTTTTTCCGAGTGCTCATTACATTTAGTTTTTCGCAATGGTATATTTTATCGCAATTTTTTTGTACACAACTTCCGCGCGACGGAAATTTATATAATTTGAATTTGTTGGACTTTTCGATCTCTGCATTATCGGGGAATCGTGTTCGAAGCGTAATTAATGGAAGTTTGATAACGATGGCATTGTCAGCGTCGACGTATAAATTACGAAAATACGAATGAGCTCGAATATAAGTGGAACGATGATAAAATTAAAGAAAATATATATACGTAACTGGAGGGTCACAGACTCCCAGAGTTATTAGGTTGTATCTTTTAATAACAAAGTGTATTCATTAACTTTAGTGTCAAATGCACGGAGTGAAAGTTTTATGTAGAAAGTTGTTTCCTTTTGCAAGATTACGATCCCCATAAAAAAAGCTCATTCTCCGGGTTTTATTGATCTTCTTTTATATTTCTTTTCTCATTACTCCTTTCCCGATGATATCATAATCCAGCCACCGTTATTAAAGCTTATGGAAAATGTTATTGGCTTATTTGTGTAGTCGGCGTTGCGCGGGGATTTAATTTTGTCCTGGCTCATAAATTCTGTTTAAGTGATTTGTGCTTATATTATGCTCGAGTCACAGGTCTCATTAAGTTACATATACATATAGTCTAAATTAAATTTATTTAGAAACATGACATGACTGACTGTATATATATATCAATGCTATTGAAAAATACCACTTCAAAATTCCTAGTACAATAATAATTCTCTAGTGTCTAATATCTAAATCTTTAAATTCTTATTAACTACTTTCTCAACTATCGATACAAAAATTTCCCAAATTCTATTATATAAATCTGCGTATTCCTAGCGCCCCAAAGTCCCAAATTCGATTATTCGATGCCCAAATCAAGCGGAATGTTGAACACGATAACCATAAACACGTAGAAGCATCTGCACTGGAGACACTAAAAATTGATAACGACGAAGTCGAGCGTGCCGATATATTATTAAAATACACCCCATTTACCGAATGCAGGTAGCTCGTTTGTACTTTCGGTCCACATCCTGGAATCCTTCGTACGCCTAAGAGGGGAGTACGCCGTAAAAATTCTCGCAACCCAGTCGATGATCTTCCGATCCATAGGATCCTAGACGCGTCAGCCAGGTAAATTTGTATGCGAACAAGGTACACGCCGTTGGAAAGCCTAGAGATTCGAAAGTTTTTCTTTACTCGGGGCCGGGAGGGGGGGGGGGAGGGAAGGTGGCGGCCGATGTATAAAAATCTCGTTTGCACAGGAACGTTACGCGAGCGAAGAAAAGAGGAAGTCACCGAAGAGGAAGGGTGGTGGGAAGAGATAGAAGCTCACGATGCCGATTGATATTTACTACCACCCGTGCAGTGCACCGTGTCGGTCGGTTGCGTTACTGGCAAAAGCAATCGGTGTTCACCTGAACATAAAGACGCTCAATTTCTTAATCAATGAACACATGACACCGAGTTTTTTAAAGGTACGTTGAACTTGCGAGCGAATGAATTGAGCAGAACAGTTGAAAATTTAAGAGAATCTTGTATATATATTTATAAATAAATTTAGCGAATGTCAAAAGCTTGTGTCAAGTACTTCAGCGGCGAAGAAGTCATAAAAATTGCCTCGAAATTAGTTAAGCAAAAGGGTACCTCTTTAATTTCGAATGAGCCATGCTTTGTGGTCATTAATTATTCTCTTGTGTAATGAAACCAAGAGCGTAAGATTTTATTCTCTCGATTAGAAAAAGGGGGGAGAATATACCCTAGACTAGAACACTTTAACAAACTGTCCTGAAAATTTACGAGACTATAATTGCTTATTTCAGATAAATCCACAGCACACATTACCAACAATGGATGACAATGGTTTCATTCTCTGTGAGAGGTATATAACTTCGCATTACGTGAATATTTGCCAGCATCTATTTATTAATGCGTTGCTTACAGCCGGCCAATCATGGGATACTTGGTGAACAAATATGCGAAAAACGACTCATTGTATCCAAACGACCCGAAGAAAAGGGGAAAGGTAGACGAGATGTTGTACTTTGATATCGGTGTTCTTTACGACAGCATAACCAAATGCTATGTAAGTATATCGATATACTTTTGAATGTGAATTTAAACAATTTACAATTTTTTTACAAGATTTTTACAATTTACTACTCTCTTCCCTTTGGGTTTCTTACTTGTAATCGTTTATTGAAGACATTCATAGCTTTCTATTTTCACAAAATTCCTAACGAATTCAACGAATTAAAATATATATTTGAAAATAATTCCGTGAACCCATATGGCTCATCCTCGAATCGAACCAAGATCGTTGAAGTTGTCTAGTCTGTAAATAAAGGGTCATGTGCGCCACGAAGCTTTTAATTATCATAGAAAGTACGCATAGCTCTTTCGATCGTCCTAACTGATACAAATTGTCCTAACACCTGACTGCTTATCGATATTGTATCAGTTCCCGGTAGTGCTTGGAAAGAGGAACACCTTACTCGAGGAAGATGTGCAGGCTGTAGAGACGGCGTGTGAATTATTGAATACATTCCTGGAAGACAGGGAGTTCGTTGCTGGTGATACTCTGACCATCGCTGATTTCTCCATCAGCGCGACCATTTGCCTCGTTCAAGTAGGTATTCGAATAGTATCGAACGGTCGTATAATTTTCAACGACCAATACAGACCGGGAAACTCGAGAACCGCGGCGATATCCTCGACAATAAGAAAGTACTTTTATACCTTTATGGCGAAAAAAGGGTGGAACACTTTACAACAGTAGTAAATTCATAGGAAACCTCACTTCTGACTTCATTATTTAATAAGTAAGAGTTCTGTGATAACATTAAGAAATTACGAGCGTTGTACGTACGACTGGGACTGCTTATCGAATATATTAAAATGTTCAAGGAGGTACACGTCGTCGTGGCCAAAATTTAAGAACTTTTTTTTTTTGAAGATTTAAATACATGCTTTATACATAAAATATATTTAGAAATGGGAATGAAATATTCCCAATCGTTAAAAAGTGAAAGGATGAATCGCTATCGATCGTAATATGGTTGGTTGACAGATTTTCGGATTCGATATCGGCCGATACGATAACGTGGCGGCTTGGTACAATCGGTGCACCGAGGTTCTGGATAAATTCGGATACGAGGAGGTGCACAGCCCAGGAAGGAAAATAGTGGCCGATATGTATTGGCCAAATTTACAGGAATCCAATTAACACCGATACCGCAGAGCTTGTAAAACCATGGGCTCGATGATGGCTCGCTGGTGATCGAGATTAAACATGAAACCTATCGAGTCGGTGCAAATCATCAGTTCGTTTAACGAGAATGTCTCGTTAAACGAGCTGATGATTTGCAGAACAAGAGGTACGGAATTGCGGTTTAGTATCTAACTTAGGATTTGATAGGTTTTGTGTGGAGTGTACAGTTTTGCGTAGGATCTTGCGATACATGGCGGATTTTATCGAATTGCTCACCCTTTAGAAAATTAATTTCGTAGTGAAATAAATCAGGGATGGGAAGAATTTGATTCGAGTAATATATAATAAATACAGGCAGCTTGTATGAATTCATTCGTGACGTTTATTCGATTGAGAATTCGAAGTTGTAATTGTTTCATTCAACAATTTGAATTCTGATATTCAGAATGAAAAAAGTATTATTCAAAATTTGTATCTGGGTTAGAAATTTACCCATCCCTAAAATAAACACTAGAGTGCAACGTTGATGGGTTAATTAATTTTTGGCACTGAAAATAATTTTTATTTATTGTTTTTTATCCACTCGATCTTTTTGCAAAGTGCGGTTCTTCGTTCAATTCTTCTTGAAATTAAAATAGCAATTTCTCAAAAAGAACCACATCTATAGCTGATTACTATCTCATGTGTCGAAAATCAAAGTTAAAGGATTTTAATCTACAGTTATAAACCTAGTATTGTATATCACTAATTATGACCCACATGGTCGTGTAGTTTGTAAATCGATTGAAATATCGTAACACGGAAACGATCACTAAATATATGAATAAATATTCATAACGAAAAAATTTGGATTTGATCTGCGGACGGCATAGCGTTAAATAACTTATTGTTTTTTAAACTTCACGGGGAGCTGTTTAAGATACAGCAAGCCTGGCGACTGCAACTATCTCAGCGCACTTGTACACAAACTAGTGGCACCATTTGTACTCGTCATTTATTATCACGATCATGTTGCCCAGTCCTGCTTTATTAAAACAATATACTTGAAACTCGAAATCCACTTAAGTAAAGAATTCAAATATTATTTCCGTACTCATCATCAATTTATTAAAATGGATCCATTATGACGTTGACCCTTTCATCGTCAAATCGAAGACAATTCTGCGCAGACTCGTCCCGTGTTGGTTGCTTGAAAAGCAGGTGGCATTGATGTTACCGTGGTATTTATAAAGTGACTTCGGAACTAACTTGATCAGATAGTTTCCGATTAATCCTCAATTAGTCGCCAAAGAGAGCACGCAGCTAGATTTACTTTACATTCTCTGGTCGGTTATCTGTCACAAATCAGTCGCCTCAAGTTTCGAGTGTGACAGTGAAGAGAGTTTGGCCGGTGTTTCGTCGACGGCGCTTTCAGTTTGTAATAGAATTTATCGATCGTTGACGTTTGAATGTTGTTTTGAGTGAAGTACGCGGTTCCATCGGATCGACAGTAGAATAGGAAGTTCGGCTGGTTCTGAGGGAGGAACGAGGAGTGCCACGTGACTGAATCTACTCGAACTCAGTCACTGATTTGCCACGGTGCTCTTGTTTGCCAGTCACTTGTTTTGGTTTCTTGTGTTGCGGGAATCACGTGCTCGCTCTGTGTTTGGGAAAGTGTCGTATGTTGTTAGCGCGAATCAACACCATTGTAAATAAATTAAAACCTTGGTGCAAAATAGCATTTCGAAATAAGAACGCGAATTTATGGACTAAATCTTACAGGAGATTAATTGAAATGAATCCATAAATAAGAAAGGTTTCTCAGTTACCCCTATCACCCTCCATTTTCGGTTCTTATACTAATTCTGGGACAGCCTGTAAACGAATAAAGACTAGAATATCAGCCAGAAAAGAATTTAAAATCTATAATTTTCGTTGCAAATGAATCCAATACTCTTGTAACGAAGGGTACAAGTGACTGTAGTTAGAATTAGGAAATGAAATTCAAAACCAATTTTCGTTGCAATTAGGTCCAACATTTTTGTAACGTGACGTGCTTGTACGATTAATAAACACGAATGAGGTACAAACTAGCGTCATGAAGTGAATATTTTTCAGACAATCTCTAGCGTGGTTCCCTCATCAGGGCGTGTATGTTTCTCCCTCAGGTGTTTAAATAATTTTGTTCGCTTAATATTAAATATCATTGTTACACGTGTAATAGGATACTTAAATATTCATTCCTGAAATTCTGCTAGGAAGCAACCATTGAATTCGTAATCTGGTAATCTAGAAACTGGCAAATTCAGATCCTGATGGAGGCCCAAACAAGGAATTAATACGAAAATTGTGAATTGTAAAATTTACATTCAATGGCTACATATTATCTACATTTTATTACAAATAAAATAATGAATTGATACTGGAGTACTGATACTTGAATCGAAGTGTTCAATCCAAGGTCCAAGGAATTTTATTTCTCTCAATTTCAACTCTCTGAATTTCTGAAGCTCCTTTTATTTCTGTACAGGTTGTAAAGAAAATATTTCTCACGATTTACAGAAACTAACCCACTTAAAAAATGTATGGTTCAATTTTTTTTTTTTTTTTTTTATTATTCCTATGTATACTGCACGCCGAGGGAATGAAAAGTTGTAGAAGAACCATGTGTCGCAAGGGATATATTTTCTCGCAAAGGGTTGTTAAAGTTTCGTCCAATTAAACTGCACAGAGTTGTGTGTAGGCGTGACGCGAGTCGTTCACTCTATCTCCCGTTACTACTCGTCGAACATAGTCGACGAGTGGGATACTTTGCCCGACAGTGTCGTCCTCTACGCTCTTTACTATGTCGTAACACAGCGTCAAAGTCTGGCGTTGTAATGGAAGACAGTTTGGGGAAACGTGTCGGTGTCTAGAACCACCTCTGTACAATGTCATTGGCCAAAACTTTAACGATATTTTGCGAGCAAATAATTTGTCTTAGACACACGACTCCTCTTGAACATACCGACCTTCCGTTAATTAGATTACGTAGGAATAGTTGGAGAAATATGTTAATTATTGGGCACGGAGCTTGCTGTACCAAGACCAATAACGTTGACATTTATCATGTCTAAAAAAATTGTAATGTAAAGTGATAATAATAAAAAAGCAACCCTCATTTATCCGCATGATATTGTTTGAACTTTTGTATACATTGGAGTATAATTATTTACTCCAAGTTACCACAATATTAATACAACGTAGTGCAAGCGTTCATTTAATTCCAAAACTAAAAACTGAAAAATATTTATATTTTATATCATTTTTCTAATTAAACTAAATTTTATGAATCCATCTAGATGAATTTCGAATGATAGATATTTTTGTTACACCCCGCACAAAAATCTTTGTACTTGAGAAATGTTTAACCTTATGGCTCACCGTTTTAGAAATACTTTATATTGGATTGAAATTTAAACGACTGTAGAAAAACCAAAATCCCGATTAATTCGTATGAAGACATCACCAGCGTTCCCTGTCGCGCTGTTATTTTGATAGCCGCCGGCATCGGCGCCGAAATGAAATTCATTCACGTCGACGTGATGAAGGGTGATCAATTAAAATCGGAGTATGCGAAGGTAGGAATAATTAAAATAGCTGCAATCATGAAATAAGCAGGAATTGTTGCTCGTACGGTACGTTTGATATATAGTACAGTATACGGTATAATTGACATCATTTTGCGTACAGGTGAACCTACAGCACACAATCCCTATGATCGATGACAACGGTTTCTGCCTCTGCGAGAGGTGAGCCACATTTCACATTCGCGTTCATTTACAACAATTTCAAATTATCAACACTGGTACTTTCTTAATCTATTTTAAGTTCTGAACCCCAGTACTTCTGATCGATTTATTTAGATATTGAAGCGAGAGATGGGGTGGTTCCATCACTTGATCTTTTAATGATTACTGTAACTTGAAAGTGGGAATTGTTCCATCTAGGTTTTATATGACGTCTGGTATTCCATGATGCAACAGTATGCTACAAATATGACGAATACAAGGACGTTGGAGTGAGATTGTTCAAGTCACGTATCGACGAGTAGGTGGAAAAAGGATTGACGACTATTTTCTATGTTGATAATGTTAAATAACTGCGTGTATTGGAAAACTGAAATCTTGGAAAATTGAAAAAAAATTTCGGTAATAACGCAAGGGTAGAGTGAAATAGTTAGTACGGTACAACACTAACAATCGTTGTCTCTGTCGATGAAGTCCTCTCATAGAAAAATTCTAAACCAAGTACCTGCGATTTTAGAATGATTAAAACATGACAGTACCCCAGAGGTAAATATCCATTCGTATTAAGCACATTTCGTCACACTGTTTACTTACTCAATAATTCATTTCTTGTCAAAAACGATACAGTTGAGAGAAATGCAGAATTTTGACTCCACCCCCTTTCATGCTTTAACCCTCGTCGGTTGATAATATCTAAGCCGTTTCACCGATTCCGTTGTACAGTAATCGTTGTACAACCCGAAATTTGGTTGCATCGCTCTAACCAATCGATAGTTCTCAGCTAATCGAAAGTTCCAGCTCGGTGAAACCGCACCGGTACGAAATGTTGTGAGAGCCAAACGGATCATGTCAAGTTAGTCTTGCTATTTCCACCTAACGTAACGGTTTGAAACAGCTTGTAAACTCCCAGTAAAATCCACCACAACCCTAGGTCAGTTTCAATAAATACGTAGCATTATTGTTTGCTCGCGCGAATCAACGGCCGACACTTCCACATCGAGAGGGTATTACGATTTTGATTTATCGATAGTCAATACGAGGAGTTGTGAATATTAACGATGCTGGGACATTTCTTACGTCGCAGTCGAATGATTCATCGTACACAGTATTCGACGACGGAATCCGTACCGTAACGGTAGGAGTAAAGTGAAAGTAAATAAACTACCTTGAACTTTCAGTGGACCTAGATCTAAGTAGCTATCTTAGACGTGCCTAGCTCAGTCGTTTCAATGCCTGATTTATAATTATTTCAATGGACAAGACGATTTTAGCCTCGAGTAATTAGACACAATGATCACAGAGCGATCACTATGACCTTGCAGCTCCATACTGAGCCGTTGAGGAAATTCCCAT